TATTTTCGATAATATCCACAAACTTAGATATTATACCTTCACGTTAAAAAACCATTTGTTGTTATGTGATTTTTAACAACGATATAACACGTGCTTAGGGTGAGAATTATAAATGATTTGGACGTAAAGCATGTAGAAATAACTCAACAATGGCCCCGGTCCGAGGTGAACCGAGGTGAAGAGCCGTGATGGGCTTTTACGTGTTGCATAATAATGTGTTTTCAGTTCGGAGACATCTCCCCGTACAAATGTCATGGGTTTACTATTTATAGTAATTTTTGGTAGATACATTGGGATCCGTGTACTACTTTTTGAATAAAGTAGCTTTTTGTGGGCGGTTTGGAGCAGTGGGTCCCACATAAATGATGACGGATCTTGTGGAGTGGGATGGTTGTGCGTAGGCATCTTGTCACCTGCTTAAGGAGGTGACGATCTCGGTTTATGTAGACCTCGGTAGATGCTGACCGACCTCGGTAGATGCTGACCGACCTCGGTCTTCGGTAGTTCGGTCCGGTTCATCGCCTGGACTGGGGTGGTGTTAAAATCACGTCGGTTCAATGGTCATCTTCCTCTTAATGTGATGTTTGGAATCTCTTAATGGTGTTTTACCGAATCGGATGATAACAGAGAGGCCCCCAATATCGGTGGGCATACGGAGTGATGGTCGTCGATGTTGCCATGCTAGACATTTAGAGACCCCGAATCGGTAAAAAGTCGGCGGCAGGGTGTTGTTTATTGTATTCGGAGGGTCATCTTCGGTCCCCTGACTGACGTAACCGAGGTGAGTCATTTGTCCGAAGTGTAGACTGTATTCCGAGGTGAAGACACTTGGTGAATTTCGAGTAATTTTCAGGCAGTCGTGACAGGAGAAAGGTGAATGTTCGTAACGGTCCACGATTTAATGTTTAGACTGAACGGTCGCGCCGTAATGGTCTTAAATGAGGTAACGGTCGACTTTAATAGGTTGCCACGTGTAACGGTAGGTGTCTTATCAGACGAAGAGGTGGCGCCGGTTGGAATTAGGGGTCGCGTCGGTTGGACGCGCCCCTAATTAAGTTTCTCAACGGTCATAAATCGAAAATTATAAATAGGGTTTAGCAATATCTGGTCGGGTTTTCTTCACCTTTGCTTTCGTTCTTGAGCTTTCGTATTATACTGGTTGTTGAAATTCTTCTGAGATTTCGAGGATTGTTTTCTGCTCGCTGTGCGCGTGCGACGTTTTCGGTAAGCTTTTTCTTTAATTTCTTCTTTTATTCCTTTTGTGTTCTGTTCGATTGTGCGATGGCGCCGAAAGGGAAGGGAAAGGCGGTGGCAAGTTCGTCGAGTACTGAGTCGGTTCCGTTGGAGGTTTACCATGATTCGGAACTGGTTGAATTGGCCTTCGAATACCACCGATGGGACCCGTCGTTGGTAAGGCACCTGAATATTAAGTTGAACGATGAGGACGGTGATCTGGTTGTAGAACATGATGCAACCGACCTCGTGGTGCCCCATTGGAGAATACCGGTGATGAAATGGCCCGATCCTGCGATCGATTTTATCGGTGAACCAAGTATCCTTACCGACG